TATTTCCTAGCTGAAGTCTTGAGCCCACCTGAGAGAAGATGGTTAACATAGGGACCAGGCTCAGTAGGAGGTGAGTCATCTGGCAAGTTATGACCTCTGTGAAGACAGAGCTCTGAGGAACCAGCCCCCACAGGACATGCTTCACATTGTGGGCCCACCTTTGTGTGACATGGGGCCACCTGGACCAGTTCTAGGCCTTGATACCTACATGTTTTCTTCCTGGATCAAAATGCTGCCCCTACTGAGGTAATAAGTCCATCCCTACTCCAACCCCTTACAATTCAGATATCCTGAAACCATAGATACATCTCCTTTGTGAGTGGTTCTCATGTCTCATTGAGTTTGGTAAATGCTCTGATACAGCTGGATATTCATAGTCATCTCAGCAGTCGTGTGCAAATTTCCATTTGGAATGTTTGTATGAAGAGACGAAGGTCCAGGACTCAGAGGAAATCCCTGCTCAGCTCCCTCTCACCTGCTCCTGGGGAGCAGCCTGTGCTCCAGGCCCTGAGAACACCCTGCTGCCCAGCACTGGATCTGCAGGGGAGAGTCCTGTCTGGGCTCACAGGGCATTGACCTCTCAGCATCTCTAGTCTAGTATTGAAGGCTGTGCCCTGAGGACAGATAACAGATTGTTCCCTCAAGGACACCATATGATTTTGATATCTCTCTATAGAGTGAACTGGCTTTACTGAGCCCCAATGGGTCTGCAGGGAAACCCCAAACCATAGAGTTAGGAAGCCACCAGGGAGCCCTTCCCTGGAACTCCCAGTTGCACAGACATAGCTGACCCTCCCCTCATCCAGAAGCTCCCAGGGGCCCTGGGACCTCTTATGTCCTTGGGTTCCTCTCATTGAAAGTCCTATGTGAGTATCCCATCAATGGGCCAACACTCAAAGCACTTTTAGTATTTAATAAATCACACACACACACACACACACACACACACACACACACACACACACATACACACAGTGATGTTTTTCTTTGCTATGAAATCCACATTTGCCCTTCTTGCTATACATAGCACATGAACAGGGGCCACATGGGAATTCTAGGCCTAGATGTGACTTTCTTTGGAAACTGATCAAATGCACCCAAAATACAAATACAGACTTTGAAGAGCAGGCACTGTCCATGCTCTTTTCTGTCCCATACATCCAGATGAAAGTTAAAACAGGACAGGGAGATTAAAAGGTGGGGATAGGTTACCCCTATAACTTCAGTGGTGCATTGCAGTGTCCCCAGAGACCCCCTCATTAAGCTGGGTTTACATCTCAGAACTGGAAGGGGAGGTGGCAGAGACAGTGTCAGCTATCAGATTTTCTGTTCTCCCAGATACCTGATAGGCGGGGCTATATTGGGCAGGCAAGTGAGGCCAGTTCTGTGAGGAACAGTGGCATTCTTGGGATCCTTGTTCCAGGATGAATTAACAGTCTGTCTATTCTTGGTGTCCATCCTGATGGTTAACTTATCTGTGAGCTCCTGCCCTGTTGCCTTCAATTCCCCACCTTCCACATGGAGTCACTCTCTGCTCAGATACCCATTGCTGCACTGTAAGCTTCTGCAGGAGCCTCCATCTCCTCCAGCATCAGCATCTCTGGTTCACCCTCATTGGTAGTCCTGCCCTGAGTACACTGTTGGGAGTGAGAATTCAGACACCACTTGTGGTTACTCAGGCTCCTACCAGAGAGAGTTCAGGGACATCCCCTTTCCTCAGGCTAATCGGTCTGTGCTGGCCCATCAAGCACCTGACAGTTGAGCTACCACATCCTGTAAGTCAGTGTACTCTTATACTTTATGTGGTTCTTGTCCTGATAATGTGTTGTCACATGTGTTAGTTCCCCAGCAGAAAGCATGCTGAAGGCAGCTGATCCCTGATTCTATCTCTCCCTCCCTCTCTGAAATGAATAAAAATATCTACAATAAAAAGCATAATATGTTTATTAGACCATGCATCCTTCTGGGTTAACATTCTTTCTAAACAATGTACACAACAGCGGACGACTCAAATGAATCTCTGTCACTACAGGAAACAGGAAACATCCATCTAGAAAGTTCCTGCATGAAGGTGGCTGATGACAGCTTCAGGCTACTTGTCTGGGACATGTCCTGGTGACTCTGGAATAATATACATGTCAAATGAATAGATGAAGTGGGTTGTGTGCATTGATGACTAACATTTTATTCAAGACAGCAAGGGGCATGGGAGTGAGTGACTGAAGTAAGGGGCCATGTAGGGCACTCTTTACCAGTCTGAGGAAAAAGAGCTTGAATTTATTTTTTTATTTTTTTTAAATACTTGTGGCCCAATGCAAGAATGCAAGAAATTTGTGCAAGAGTAGGCCTTCTTTACCCAGGCTTCCAGGACTGACTTCCCTCTGGCAACCAGACTAAGGTTTCCCTTTGACCCGGGCAGGCACCCAGGACTCAGGACCCGGGCTTCCCTTGCATCCCCAGTTCATCCAGAAGGACATCTGGTATAATAAAAACATTAAACTTTTTTATTATAGATATTTTTTGTTCATTTCTGAATGGTAGGGAGAGATATAGAAACATCAATGGTGAGAGAGAATCATGGATCAGTCCCCTGCTGAGGAACCAATTCACATCCTGGGAATGTGCCCTCACCCAAATCTAATTATGACATCCTGGGTCATAAGTCAATGCTCTAACATGGAGGCGCACCGACTGTGCCAGAGAGTGTGAGCTTAAACCCTAGGACATGTCAGTTCTGTTTCCCTTTAAAGGAAATGTGTCCCCATCAGGGATATGAGGATCTTCAGGCTGATCTACTCATGGAGCAGGTCCTTTAGGAACTGGTGAAGGGAAATCTCTAGTGACTGCTCATCACTCACCTGCAAACACAGTGCTCCTTCTCTTTCCAGTCCCAGTGATGATGTGAGCACTTAGAGGTTCCAAGAACAAGACATGCTCTTCCCTGGGAGCAAAGAGCAACTTGGAGAGGTGAGGAAAACACCCACCACAATAGGAAGTCTGTCCCTGCCCCTCTACACCTGCCCAAGCATAGACAAGCATTACCTGAAGATTCAGAGTGCCCCCTGCTGGTCATGAGCATCCCCTGCAACCCAGACCCTCTGTTTCCTCAGGGAGGTTTGTGTCAGGGCTCAACTGACTTCCCCTCACTGTGTCTCTTGTACAGTAATACACAGCCGTGTCCTCAGATGTCAGCTTGGTCATTTTAAGAGAGACTGTGTTGGTAGGGTTGTCCCTGGAGATTGTGAATCTTCCTTGAACTGCTGGAGCATACCACTGTCTTTATCTCCAGTTGGATGACTCACTCTTGCCACCCACTGCAGCCCCTTCCCTGGAGCCTGGCGGACCCAGTACATGGAATAGTTAGTGAAGGTGAATCCAGAGGCTTTGCAGGAGAGGCTCAGAGACCCCCCGGGTGGCACGACGCCTCCCCCAGACTCCACCAGCTGAACTTGGCACAGGCCACCTGCAAACAGAGACATAGACTGAGAACTGCCCAATGCCACCCAGTCCCCATGAGCCTGATGCACAGGGACACACCTTTGACAGTGAAGAGAAGCACAGCCCAGATGAGCACAGACCCCATGGTGTGGACACTGAGAAGGGGTTCACACAGGAGTGCTCCTCTCCTGGGTGTGCAGGGACCCAGCCTGGCAGGCTTTCATGAGCAGGGGAGGCGCCACATTTGCATGTCTTCCCCAGCGGAGGACATGTTTGGGCTACCAGGAGGCTCCTCCCTCTCTGTGGTCATATGGGGTGGGTAGATGGATCAGGGTGCCTGGGCCAGCACTCAGGGGCATGAGGCTGGTCTGCACATTCTAGAAACTTGTCTGTGAATAGTAAGAGACACACTTCATCAGGAAGGAAAAGGGGATTTTTATGGTTCTCCAGTGCAGGTTGCACATAAATCCTCTAAGGAGACACCTTGGGGCAGGATGGTGGAGATGACAGTGCCCCCTAGTGGTTGAGCCTCAAAGTCTGAGGACAGGTGTGAACCAGCTTCCTGAGACAAGGCAGACATGTCTGCCATGGGGAAGCCTTCCATGGAATTTCTGAAAGACTGGTAGCCCCAGTCCTGCTACTTGTAGGCAGGTGGTTCTCTGCAAGGACTCCCTGGGCCTCAGGCTGCCTCTCAGGTTAGAACTTGAGGATCATAACCATTTACAGCCCAGACCTCTAGTGCCAGGCCCTCAGCTTGCACATGAAGGTGCTGTCACCAGGACTGGTGTGCACTCAGCATTCTGGAGTGTCCACCATGTGACACAGCAGTGCCTGTTTAGCTCAGGGAACATGTTTTCTGATATTTGTGGGGGACCCTCTGTGACTGTTGACAGTGGAACTGCAGGGAGCAGTGAGCCAGGGGACAAACTCACAAAGGATAGAAGGCAGTTCTCTACCCAGGAGCCAGGCCCTTTAAACACAATCCCTGATACCTCGTGCCCATAAATTCTAAGATTGTGCTTGAGATCATATGAGTAAGTTTCAGTGGAGAAGACAGCATAGCCCATTGTGCTCACTCTGAGACACAAGTTAGTGGGCCCATCTGTGCTCAGGGTGATTTTCATCCATTGGTTTTAGCTTCTGAAATGTTATTTCCTCAATTTTTTTTTTTTTTTTTTTTTTTTACAAACAAAGCCTTGAGTGCAAAGTCTTACCACCTGGGTCATCAATAATCTTGTTGGATGATCAAGTCATAAACTCTTACCTATGGATGCAGGTCCTTGAAGAGGCCCCAGGAGCAGCTCAAGGAGAACAAGCTGGGTTTTTGGTGAGTACCTAGATATGGAGGATGATCTGTTCCAGGGCTGTGGAGGGAGAGCACCTGACATCCAGAGCAGGTGTGGCCCTTCTCATCCGTGTTCCTGTCCCTTGGTGTTTAAAGATGTTCACTTTTCCAACCTGGCCAGAGGGGAAGGTGTGTTTGGACGGAAACTGGTACACACTGTTGATCAGAGAGAAGAAAAAACATCAGGTGTGCCTATAGGTATGTGGGTTTGTGTGGGTTACTCAGGTGTGCTCATTCCCAGGAAGGGAGGAGTTTGTCTACTGGGGAAAATGAGATGTGACACTGTGGAAATTAGCAACTGTGGAGGGATGTCAATCACATTAGATTCATAGTGGTAGGCCCTGTGGGAAAAATTAGAAGTTGTCACATAATATGAGCAGTCAAGGCCACTCCCACAAGCTCTGTGCTTGTGATGTGACATCTGGCTTCTCTCCCCTAGGATCCAGGCTGTGTGCTGAGAGAAAGAAGCGTGAGTGGTCACCTCTTTGGAGCCATGGCATCCTGGCACCTGTCAATATCTCCCAGGATGATGCTGATGAAGAGAGAGCAGAGACAGATCCTCTATTGCTTTATTGGTCCATCACTATGGGAGACTTGGTAAAGAGCACCTTGCTACTCAAAGGCTTGGGCACAATTCTGGGAAGTAGTGAGAGGATGCCTCTTTTATAGGGACCAAAGATGGTGCAGGTATCCTAAAAATATATGTGTTGATAATCCAGCAGCTGAAGTGTTAGTTCATATGTCAAGAGTTCTGAAATGTGAAGTTGGTGATGGCATCACCTCTGTTCCCATTTTTGCAGCAGAATTGCTAAGGGAAGCAGACTCTAATTTCACAAAAGTTTCAACCTCAGAGCATCATTTTAGGCCGTTTGGAGAGAAGCCACAAAGACAGCAAAAAGGCTCTCTTGAATTCTGCACTTGATAATGGCTCTGATGAAGATACAGTCCACCAATATTTAGTGAACATTGCGGGAACAACATTATCCTCAAAACTTCGTACTCATCACACAGATCACTTTACTAAGTTAGCTGTAGAAGCTATTATCTATTGAAATGCTCTGGTAATCTGGAGGCAATTCATGTCATCAAGAAGCTAGGAGGAAATCAGGTGGGTTCCTATTTAGATGAAGATTTTCTGTTGGATAAAAAAAAACCAAGCAAACAAACAAACAAACAAACAAAACCCCACTGGAATAAATAAACCAAAGCAAATTGTTTGGAGAGTATTTCATAGCTGAGGTCTTGACCCCACCTGAGTGAAGATGGATGACACAGGGACCAGGCTCAGTTGAGAGTCTGAGGATCCAGGTCCTAATCATGGTTGGAGGTTTGTCACCTATGAGGGCCCTGAACTCTGTGCAGACACAGCTCCTCCACTGAGGAATAAGCCACCAAATGACATGCTTCTCTTTGTGGGCCCATGTTTTAGTGACATGTGGCCACCTGGACCAGCTCTGAGCTTTAATATCTAAATGTCTTCTTCCTGGATCAGCGTGTCTCCAATATGCTGCCTCTACTGAGGTAATAAATCCATCCTTACCCCAGTCCCTTACAATTCAGATACCCCAAAGTCATAGAATAACCCCTGTGTGTGTGGTTCTCATGTCTCATTGAGTTTGGTAAATGCTCTGATAAAGCAGGATATTCACAGTCAACCAACAGTCATCATCAACATTCAGTTTGGATTGTTTGTATGAAGAGAGGAAGCTCCAGGCATCAGAGGACATCCCTGCCCAGCTCCCTCTGCACCTGCTCCTGGGGCAGCAGCCTGTCCTCCTGGGCACTGTGCGCCACCTGCTGCTCACTCTGGCTCTGCAGGGGAGGGTGCTATCTGGGCTCACAGGGCATTGACCTCTCAGTGTTTCTAGTCTTAGTAGTGAAGGCTGTGCCCTGAGGTCAGATTGCTCCCTCAGGGACATCTTGTGGTTTTGACATCTCTGAGTAAAGTGACCTGGCCTTACTGAGCCCCAATGATGCTGCAGGTAGACCTCAAACCAGGACTTTAGGAAGTCAGCAGGAAGCTCATCCCTGGAGCTTCCAGATGCAGGGACACAGCTAAACCTCCCCCAGAAGCTCCTGGTGGTTCTGGAGCCTCTTACTAGTATGACCTCAAGTTCCTTTGGTTGAAGGTCCCATCTGCACATCCTGGCATGTGGCCAAATCTCACTGCACTTCTATTTAATAAAACACACACACACACACACACACACACACACACACACACACACAAATATTTTTCTCTGCTATGAAATCCACATTTGCCCCTCTTCTCTGTATATAGCACATGGGCAAGGACCACATATGGGTTCTGGGCCTGGGTGTGATGTTCTTAGTTAGCTGATCAAATGCACCCAGGATACAAACACAGACTTTGAAGGGCAGGAACGTGGGTGTCCGTGTTTTTGCATGTCCTGTATACCCAGATGCAGGAGCAGGTCAGGCTTGCTCCAGGGAGTCAGAGATAAGGGTGGGTCAACTCTTTGCTTCAGGGGTGTGTTGCTGGGAGTCCCCTGGGGATCCCCCCTCAGAATTGTTTGTATGAAGAGAGGAAGCTCTAGGCCTCAGAGGATACCCCTGCCCAGCTCCCTTTGCACCTGCTCCTGGGGCAGCAGCCTGTCCTCCTGGGCCCTGCGCGCCCCCTGCTGCTCAGCCATAGCCCTGCAAGGGAGGGTCCTATCTGAGTTCACAGAATTTGGAGGAGAGAAGGCAGCAGCATTGTCACCTGTCAGGTGAGGCTGTGCTCTGCCCTGGTGGGCAGGGCTACAGTGGGCAAGGTGAATGAGGCCAACTCTGGGAGGCGCACCCTGGGTTCTCAGGACTCCTTGTTCCAGGAAGGGCTAGGAGTGTATCTATTCTTGATGCTCCATCCTGATGGTTAACTTTCCCATAAACACCCAAGCCCCTGCTTCCCAATTGGACACATATGATGTATGTTTATCTATCATCTATGTTTCCATCTCTCTATTCCTCTTTGTTTCCCCCTCTCTAAAAATAAATACTACATCAATAAATAAATAAAATACACTGTATTCTCCCCCTCTAAATAAAGGAACTCTGATACTTTATTTAACACTGAGGAACTGGAGAGTATTATTCTAAGGGAAATAAGCCATTCAGATAAAGACAAATATCACCTGATCCAACTTATAGGTAGAATCTAATGAACTAAATAAGCTGATAAGTGAAAGAACCAGAGGCAGGGACAAATAGATCAGACTGAGGAATCTCAGAGGGAAGGGTGGAGGAGGGAGAAGGACAAGATTAACCTAAGAACTTATGTGCGTAAATACCAGACAATAAATGGTGAAGGCCTGGGCTGGTGCTTGAACCATGTGGAGGCAGACAAATGGGGGGAAATAGAGGAACACATCTATAATATTGTGTAGAATAAAAATAAAATAACAAAAATGTTTTATATATTTAATATAAAAATAAAATAAATGCTGGAGTAGATGAGTGGATCACATTATTTTAATCTTAATAGGCATTCATTTCATTAATAAAATAGATTAACATTATATACAAACATCTTCTCAAATCCAAAGATACCTGTTAGGTAGACTCAACATTCCAAATTGAGTAATGATACTTTTTTGTAGAATAACATTTTCATGTCAACTTTGACTTACAAATAATTGAACAATAAAGAACTTTCCTTCCCATAAGCCAACTGAGGGCCCTAGGCTTCCAGATGACCATGCAGGTGCCGTCCCTGTCTCAGTCCAGCTCCAGGGAACATGCCTTCTAGACTCACCTTCTCTCAGAGGAACACAGGGACTGACTCTGGACTAGCAGGCACTCTGATATGGGTGTGGACATGGACCTGCCCATTGTCACAGAGAGTCATTCTGGGACTTGCCCTCCCAGTGCCCACCTGAGTCCCAGGGGGAAGGAAACCTGGAGGTTGACTATCTGGGAAGAGCCTGTGAGCTCATTATGGGCTAACACTACAAATGGAGGATGAATAAAAATGCAGAGAAGGTGTATCTTTTTAAAAATCACTTAACTGATATTTACCTATTAATGAGATATCAGAAGAAAGGATTTGTGAACCCCTGAAGAGACCTGATCATGTGTTTTGAAATAAAGGCCATCTGGAAACTGCAATTATTCCCTGTGTTCACACCTTACAGCTCACGGATCAATTCAGAATCCACACCTTTGAGAACCGCTCCAGTGCAGGATGTCAATCTCAGGATGCTCAGAACCCTCTAGAAGCTGCAATTCTGGAAGCAGAAGCTGACCCAGACCTTCTGTACAAGGAGAGGGTCAAACAGTGGAAACTTCACTTGAGAACCAGACCCCACTCTCACTCCTGCTTTGGGCTTATTGACTTGTTCCTCATTGCTGGTTGCTGTCCACTCTGAATGCATGAGTTCCTCCCTTTAAATTGTTATAACAATTTTAGGTGAACCCAGGAGTCTGACCACAGGTTTTGTGGTGATGCCTCTCAGCTTTCAAGCCTCGCCCTTCATCTTCCACTTCTGCCCAAATCTGGAAACATGAGCGAGGCAGCTTGGAGGTCTCTCCTCTGCACTGGAGGGAGTCCATCCACTCTAGCCCCTGCCCATCACAGTAACCCCACCAGTCCCCACTCCGTGACACAGGTCTCCCTGAGCCAGTCCCCCTTCCAGTACCCTGAGGTCATTGCACCCACTGGGGAGGCCTCCATGCATCCTGATACAGAGGTTATGTCAGAGCTGAAAGTTTTCTCATCCCCTGGTTTGTGGTCGTCCTTAGACTCATCCTCTGAAGCTGCTATGGGCAGGACCCTGCTGTCCTTGCATAAGGCTCACAGCCATTGTCTGTGTGCCTTTCTTTTCCATCAGGGCTGACCAGCTCTATTTTTCTGAGCTGTCTTTGTCCTGATCATGAATCTGGAGAAGGTCCAGGAGCCAATGTCAGATAAAGATGTCAGGACCCAGCCTCCAACAGGATCCAGGCTGAGCCTCCCTGTGAGCTTGCTACTGGGCTGCCTGTGCTGATTTTGGGGCCCTGACTGCCCACTGGTGTCCTGAGTGACCCCTGCAGCCCAGCCCTGTTGTCTGCCTCAGGGAGATTTGTGTCTGGGCTCACCCTTGCACAATAATATATGGCCATGCCCTAGGCTCTCAAGTTGCTCATTTGTAGGTTGGCAGTGCTTTTAGATTATCTCTGGAGATAGTAACTCTGCCTTTCACAGATTCAGCATATTCCATGGTGTGACTGTTGGATATGTTTCTTATGCAACCTACCCATTCCTGTCCCTTTCCTGTGGTCTGCTGGACCCAGCTTATATAATAGTCATTGCACGTGAATTCAGATCCTTTGCAGGAGAGTCTCAGAGTCCCCCCACCCCAAGGTGGCACCATGCCTCCTCCAGATTCTACCATTTGCACCTCACACTGGACACCTGCAAACACACAAACTCTGTGTTTCAGGTAAGGAAACTCTCATACAAACTGTTTCTCTCACTCATGTCCACATACAGTGTCTCTTGTTCTCCATAAATTATCTCTTAAAAGAGCCACAAGTAAAACCCAGCTGAGCCCAAACCCCATACTGAGTGGTCTGTGTTCAGTCCTGATCAGGGAATGGGAACACCTGGGGACCCTGTGACTAGGCTTCTGTCCCAGAGCTGCAGGGTCAGGGCTGGGCTGGCTTTTATGAGCTGAGGGGGCCCTATTTCATGTTCATGGACAGAGAGTTACTAGACACATGGGCCACTGCTTCATTAGATTGTTATCTCCTTGTTGTTTAGCCATTTGAAGTTTTATTTCCTCACTTTCCTCTGAAACAGCCATACATGTCTCTAGGGTCTTGAAGATACTCTATTGAGAGTGTGCAGGGACACAAGCCATTTGTGTGTTTATGTTGTACCTTATGTCATTCCTGAGTTCACTTTCCAGTTCTTTCTATTTTCTGGTGCAGTTTTTAAAATTTTCTGTTTACAAGATCATGTCATATGTATTCAGACAAAGAAAGACATTTTAACATGTCTCTTTCTGATTTATACATTTTGGATATCTTTTTTTTTTTTTTTTTTTTGGCTAAGTATTCTGACAAGGACTTCTAGTTTTGTTCAATAGATGTAGTCACAGTGGCACCCTTGTCTTAATCCTGATCAGGAAGAAAAGCTTTAAAATTTTCTCTGCATAGCACGATGTTACTTGTTAGCTTTTCAAATGTGGCCTTTATTATATTGAAGTCCTTCACTTAATCTGTTAAGAATTGTAATTTTGGCCCTAGCTGGTTTGACTCAGTGGATAGAGCATACATCTGCAGACCAAAAAGTCTCAGGTTCTATTCCACCAAGGGCACTTACCTTGTTGCTAGCACTTCCCTGGCCCAAGATCTGGTCAGTGCATGTGCAGCAGGCAACCAATAGATTTCTTTCTCTCAAATATGTATACCCTATATAATAAAAGGCTAATATGCAAAGTGTCCCTTTGACTACTAATTCTACCAGCAGGCAAGCCAGCGAACCGCCATGTCCCCTGGCCAGGCTGGCCTGACCTCAACCCTGCACAAATTCATGCACCAGGCCTCTAAGAAAGAAAGAAAGAAAGAAAGAAAGAAAGAAAGAAAGAAAGAAAGAAAGAAAGAAAGAAAGAAAGAAAGAAAGAAAGAAAGAAAGAGAGAGAGAAAGAAAGAGAGAGAGAAAGAAAGAGAGAAAGAAAGAAAGAAAGAAAGAAAGAAAGAAAGAAAGAAAGAAAGAAAGAAAGAAAGAAACACACAAACACACACATAAAAGAAAAATATGCTAATTGACAGTACCTCTGCTAGGCTATGACCACAGGCAATCAGGAGTGACATGCAAATTAAACCAACAAAGATGGTGGGTAAATTTGTATATGCAGGTGGGGCCGAGACCTGTTTGGCTCAGTGGATAGAGCGTCGGCCTGCTGACTGAAGGGTCACGGGTTTGATTCCGGTCCAGGGCATGTACCTTGGTTGAGGGCACATCCCCAGTAGGGTTGGTGCAAGAGGCAGCTGATCGATGATTCTCTCTCATCAGTATTTCTAACTCTCTATCCCTCTCTCTTCCTCTCTGTAAAAAAATCAATAAAATGTATTTTTTTAAAAAAATTGTATATGCAGGTGGGGCAGGCAGTGCCTGACACCTCCAGCAGGGTAATAAGCCACCATCACAGACCAGGGCAGGCAGCACAGGCAGTGCCTAATGTCACTCACGGGGTACAAGCCATGAGCAGGGACCCAGGCAGGCATTGCTGGAAGCACCTAACGCCACCCAAGGGGTCCAGATTGCGATCGGGGTCTTGGGTAGCCAGGGGTGTCCAGAATCTCTGGGTCACTGCCTGCTCCCGGGCCGCCAGTGGACACTGGTAGAGCAAGCCCAGGTTGAACATTCAAAGAACTGGAGAACCATTTCCAAATAAGGAAGGGGAGTCACAGGGTGTATATTATTGCTATGAATACAGTATTTCCTACTACTTACAACATATGCAAAGTAATGTATTAGATACCTTTCTATCATATGAAGTACATATTCTCATAGAGTAATACTGATAGATATGTTATAATTGTGGTAGTATGTCATATCCTATCCATCTTAATAAAAGGATGATATGATAATTAGATCATGAGATCTTCCAGACATCCTTCTGGACAAAGCCATGGTGGCAAGGCCAAGGCAAAGGCTGTTAGGGGTGATCAGGCCAGGATGGGAGGGCAGCAGGGGCTGATCAAGGTGGTGGTGGTGTGGACAGTATTACTCTCTAACAGTTTTCGGCAAACCGTGCCTTGCGAGTCACATGTGGCTCTTTGGCCCCTTGAGTGTGTCTCTTCCACAAAATTCCATGGCCTGGGTGAGTCTGTTTTGAAGAAGTGGTGTTAGAAGAAGTTTAAGTCATTCTAACTAACTCAGAGAAGTCAGAGGTAAGCATAGAATTAGACATCCAGAGGTTCCATGATGGAACTGTGACATGAAGTGGAAACCACACAGGAAACCATCCCAAACCTCCACTGCACCTGCTGCTGGGATGGTCCTTGTGTTCAGGGACCCTGAGCACCCCCCGATGGTCACAGCCTCTCCTGCAGGGAGTTTTGTGTCTGACCTCACACTGACTTTCCCTCACTGTGTGTCTTGTACAGTAATACATGGCCATGTCCTCATATCTCAAGCTGTTAATTTGCAGATACAGCATGTTCTTGGCATTATCTCTAGAGATGGTGAATCTGCCCTTCACAGAGTCTGCATAGTATGTGCTACCATCAGTATGAGTAATAGTAGAAATCCACTCCAGCCCCTTCCCTGGAGCCTGGCGGATCCAGTTCATCCAGTAGCTACTGAAGGTGAATCCAGAGGCTGCACAGGAGAGGGTCAGAGAACCATCAGGCTGCACAAAGCCTCCCCCAGACTCCACTAGCTGTACCTCACACTGGACACCTGCAAACACAAAAATATTCAGTTCAGGAAATTCTCACACATCCACTGTTTCTCTCACTCATGTCCACTCACATATTCAGTGTCTATTGCTCTCTATAAATTACCTCTTAAAATAGCAACAAGAAAAACCCATCTGAACCCAAACCCCATATTGAGTGGTCTATGTTCAGTCCTGAACAGGGAATGGAAACACCTGGGGATCCCAGGGCTGGGCTCCTGTAGCAGAGTTGCAAGGATCAGGGTTGGGCTGGCTTTTATTAGCAGACAGAGCCTTATTTGCATATCCTCCTGCTATATAAGGATATCTGGGGTTGGGCTCTGATGTAAATGACATAGTCCCAGAGTGTGACATGTCCAAGGATGCATATCTGTTAACAATTACTCCCCACATCTGGGCCTGTGCCTTTCCCAATGGACCCAAATTCTCCAGGAGACCTTTACAAAGACCCAGGAGATAAAATTGTCATAAAAAGAAAAATAGAAGGTTAAACATGAGAGATGCCTTTGACAGTCATCAGTAATGACAACCAAGAGAAAACAACTATAGAAAGACAAAAGTGCAGGAGTTTCATGTTCAGGAAACAGGAAGTTCCATCTGATAGCATTTCCACAAAGTGATCAGAGGATAAACTCAGACCAGAGTGTGAGCCTAGATCAAGTGGACCAAGTAGGGGGAGAATGGAGCATCTGTTTGGCTTCCTGGGAGTCAGAAGCATGAACTATAGAGACACAGACAGAGCTCAATGTCCTATTCCTTCAGGGGAGTTTGGTGCTTAACTTGTAGCAGCTACACTGCCCCTTTGTGGCATTTATTCTCTAGTCTCTGGTGGTAGATCCAGTTTCATCCATTAGCATATAGAAGAAAATAATCATGACCAGGTTTATTTAGGAGAAGATATGGGTAATTATTGAGGAATAATTAAGTTTAGGTTATGAAAATATTGTTATTGGAAACTTGATGTCAGCAATGTGACGCTTAGGGCCACTGTCTTATGTCCCACATGGTGGGGGTCAACTGAACATGCACCTGACTCAGTGCCACATTGTGGGGGGGCTGTCTTTGACCATAATGGGGGATTAGCCAGGACCAAGGACACACACTTCCAGGGTTCTTGTTCATTTGGTTGTATCTTCTTGTTTAGCCACTTCAAGTTTTCTTTTCTCACTTTCCTCTGAAACAGCCCCACATATTTCCTAGTCATAAAGAAACTTTGTTGAGAGTGTGCAGAGGCACAAGCCATTTGTTTATAGATTCTGAACATTATGTTGATCCTGATTTACTTTCTAACTTCTTCAGTTTTCTGTTGCAATTTTTAGGTTTTTCTATGTTCAAGATAATATCATCTGCATAAAGATATAGAAAAACATTTTAACTTTTTTTCTGATATAGTTTTATTTCTTTTTCTTAATTTTTCATACAAGCACTTCTAGTGTCGTAGAATAGAAGTAGTCACAACGGGCACTCTTTGTTGTCCTGATATTTAGGAGAACAATGTTCAATTTTCTGTGTTTAGTACTATGCTAGTTGTTGGCTTCTTTAATGTGGCCTTTGTTATGTTGAGGCACATACCTTCTATAACTAATTTGTTTACAGTTTAGTCATGAATGGATTTTTACTTTTTCTTTTCTCTATCTATTTTTATGATGATATATTTTGTCTTTAATTCTATGGATGAGGTTTGGCTCAGTTATTGGTTTTATGTGCCATGAACCATCCTTTCATTCTAAGATGATATCCCACTTGATCATACTAAATGAGCATTTCAATATTCTATTAAATGTCCTTGTACATTGTAACCCATTTTTTTGTAAATTCCCTTGTATCACCTTTTCAGGGTGTTAGATTTGTTTTGAGTCACAGCATATAAATATGGTTGCTTTTTAAAATCAGAGAATTATTAGACACATGTCTTCATTTTTTTATTTTTATTTATTTATTTTTAATTACATACATGTTATTTTTAAAACTTGAATGTCAAGAGCAAAACTCTGGCTATTAAATAATAACAACAATGCCATGCAAAACAACAAAATGAAAAATCAGAATTATGAACATATTAATATTTTAGCTACTAAATGAGTCTCTTGTTGCTGGTGTAGTTTGCTCAGAGTCCTTGGACTTGCTGCATAAGACTTTGCAGAAGACTGGGAGCTAACCGATGCTAGCATGAGCAGGAACATGATTAAAGAAGTAGCTTCCACTTGTCTTTAATTTCTTCAGATGACTCCATGTTGGCACCTCAGTCCCTTGCGTAGCTTTCAGTTTTTTTCTCCCACTTTGCTGTTGTCTGGGCAACTCTCAGTCCTTTTGGGTGAAGGGACACAGGAGCTTCTCTGAGTCCATTGTGATGATGGACATAACACTCTGGCTCCCGAATTGGCTGCATTGCTCCTTCTTTCCTTTCATTTTGAACCTAGGGTTCAACCCCACAACACTCCAGACCTGGCTGCTCGGGGCCTGAATGCTCTGGGTCTGGATGCTGCTCTGGGCCTGGCTGCTTCAGGCCTGGATGATGCTGCTCTGGGCCTGTCTGCTCTGGCCCTGGCTGCTCTGGGCCTGGCTGCTCTAGGCCTGGCTGCTCCGGGCCTGGATGCTCCAGGCCTAGACACATGTGTTTAAAGCTTCCTCCAGTGAAGGCCCAGAAAGAAGTAAAGTGCATGATACAGAGAACTTGTATCATTGTAGGAAATACCAGAATAATTATGAAGAAGAGCTTGTTGGAAGTAGAAAAAACATGCAAGTAGAAATCAAGAGAAATAAGGAACCTGCCATTGCAAACTGGTGGAAATGGGATTCCCTGTTACCTGCATGCACATTCTCTCAGTGTCTCTATTCTAGAAGGTAACAGTTTCATTGGCATAGGGAGTTAGGACCTGGACACCTTTGTGGTCATTACATGGTCACACCATGAATCACCCACACTGCATATTTTGATTGAGTCTCTATTTATAAAGTCTCTCAACACAGAAGAGTGGACAACCCTCACTGGAGAATCCATGATGATGGTGTGTCTGTGAGGAGCCATCATTTCATTGGACCAGGGCCCCTGCCTCAGTCCAGCTCCATCATCATCATCATCATCATCATCATCAACATCATCATCATTTGCTTGTTTATAATTGTTCTCATATTCTGTAGAGATGGTGTTTGTCCAAACACAATGACTTTTACTCAGAAAAGAAAGCAGACATCTTCTCTTCAGATATCATTGGGAGATTAAAACACCAATGGTCAAACTGTATGTAGACACAGCCCTTCAAAGGAGCAAATGATCTAGTGTAACAGATTCCCACCAAGACATTGCGCCAAGATTCCTTTTCCATTCTATCACCACCATCATCATCATAACCATCACCACCATCACCATCATCATTGATATCATCATCATCACCATCATTTTCTTACTTTTAATTATTCTTCTCATTTTCTATAGACCTGATTTTTGTACACTCATAAGGACACTTTATCTCAATTTGTGGTCATTTTTCATAGTTGTAAGTAAAATGGGGAGCCATATACTCTTTTATTTTCCATTTGACTTCTGACAACTTATGGCTCATTGCTGCCCCTTTTCCATCTGCTCCTCCCCCCGTCCCCCCACACACAGGAAATCAGATAAGAAATCATAGTTTTCCTTTTAGATGTCATCGTGAAACAGGCACTACAGAAGCCCCTGAAAGCAGAATTCCTCCCCCTCCTGATCACCTCTCCAAAATAAAAGTCCAAATAAGTCTCCTTTTCTGGCTCCATTAAAGCACATCTAACTTCCTCAAGGGCCTTTCCTGTGCTTCTCAGGGATTTCATTGATATGCATAATAAACATTTTTTGTCCCTTGGTGTCTGTGTTTATCATCAGTATGTGCAAATGTACCAAACTGGTGTGGTTCCCTATGCCTCTGCCTGGAGTCACTTACTCCTTATGCTGTGAGCATGATTATACACCAATAATCTTCACCACCTGGGTTCTTAACCTCTAGCTTTGGGTTCAAGTACCTGTGGCTGCTGCTGTACAGCATTCAGGTGTATTGCATCATTAAGTCGGCAGAGCCTTTTGTGAGATTAGGTGACATGGGTCTGAAAATTAGATGATTAATTGTCATTTGGGGACATGAGTGTCTGAAAGAGACCCTCTGCCTTTTGTCCACTTTAGAGTATTGTCTCTATTTACAGCAGACTTTATTAACTCAGAGGTAAGTGCAGAATCAGGAACCCAGAGGTTCCCTGAGGGGAACTGTGACATGAAGGGGAAACCACACAGGAAACCAACCCTAACCTCCAACTGCACCTGCTGCTGGGATGATCCTTATGTTCAGGGACCCTGAACGCTCCCTAGAGGTTGCAGCCTCTGCTTCAGGGAGGTTGATGCCTGGGCTCACAATGACTTCCCCTCACTGTGTCTTGCACAGTAATACATGGTCATGTTCTCAGACTTCAGGCCACTGATCTGCAGATAGGCCATGCTGACAGAGATGTCCATGGAGAAGACATATCTTTCTGAAAATCCCTGGGCATAAGTAGGTGTCCCACTTTCTGTATTGATCCAGCCCATATACTGCAAGCCTTTTCCCGGAGCCTATTTCACCCAATTTATATCATATCTGGGGAAGGTGTATCTAGAAGCCTTGTAGGAGACCTTCATGGAGGACCCAGGCTTCCTCATCTCAGCCCTAGACTGAACAAGCTGCACCTGGGAGTGGACACCTGTGGAGAGGAGACAGGAGTGGGTGGAAATCCCCCTTGACTCCCCCTGTTGCCCCCTGAACACAGGGGCTGGGGAGCCCCTTACCTATAGCCAAGGCCATCAGAAGAAAGGTTCTCCAGATCCAGTCCATGATGAGGGCTGTGCTGTGAGCACCTCTGTAGGGATGGGTGTGGCTTTGGATGATGCCCTCAGGGCACAGGTTTATCCATATGTAACCTAGTCTACTTCCTCTCTTTTGCATATTCAAGGGGCAGCATATTTCAAAGCTTAGGTCTTGACCCCACCTGAGGGAAGATG